ACATGTTTGTCTGTCTATACCCCCTTATCTGCAGAAACTAATGTTTAGAAAATGTCAGTACTCAGTGAATCTATATTTCAACAATGACAAAAGAAACAAAAGCAGTAGAGCTGGCCATAAAAATCAATAGAGAGTTTGAGGTCATATTGCTAGATTAATCAGCATATAGCTAGTTCATTCATTCTATTACACCAGCATACAAAGGTCCCTAGAGCATTTCATAATTACATCTAGAAACCAGCCTACTTGTTCTAAACATTATATATTCTCTTACCCTTCAAGAAAAAAATCTGTATTTGGTGCTGGACAGGAATCATGAAGACCTCCAAGTGCAAGTAAAGTGGATGTAACCGGGGCAGAGGAGACAGAAGTATTACAAGAGCATTTAATAATTTGGACTGAAAGCCAACCTAGCTATTTTAAATATAATACAATCTCACCCTTCAAAAAGGTGCATGCATTGATGCATATCAATCTTCACATACTCTCAGTGAGTTTTCAGATACTTTCAGATTCATTTGCAAATACCCTTCCAGTTCCTGGACTAGTGTTTTTTTACCTCCATTCATGGTAGCATACCCCTACATGCTCTATCAGACAGCAATCATACAAGCGTGATGCAAGGGGAAGTAATCAAGCTAGAGAAGGCAGAAGGATGGCAAAGTGAAACATGTAGTGTTGTTGACTGAATCAGCAGGTAGGACTCTTTCTAAGCAATGTCAGATTTACCAGGGTTGGAAATGTGTTGCAGCTGTCATAGTCCAGACAGTAGGTGAAAAGCAAGTTTATTTCTTTGTTTCTTCCTAATATTTATAATGGTCTATAAAATTGATCCTGAGGTATTAGGATCTTTGTCCGCTATTAGCTAATCAGTGTAGCTCCATTCAAGCTGGTGGTGTGACTCATGACTTTTAAGCACTCAGCAGCAAATACTGGAAAACGACTGGTGGTATTTGCCGATGTAATTTGAGGAAGATTTGAAGAACAGACTTCCAGCTGGAAGACATTTTGTTTGCGACTGTATTTTATGCTTATTTTTAAGAGTTTAAGAACTTGCCTTCAGCCTGTTTTGTAATAAATTCCACTTATGCAATAGCATTGAAAAGCAGGGGAACAATGACATTACTCTCTTTCTCCTTCTGTTGGTTTAGCAAACATATTAGATTCGAAACTTGAACAGAAAAAAAATGTTATCTTGCATGCCCATGATGTTCTTCTCTTTATCTTTTACTAAGATCCTTTTCTCTAACTTACAAGTAGGAGCCAAAGTTAAGAGGCTCCCAGTGCATTTTCAGTTATCAAATTCTTACAGGTTCTTTTGCAAACGCCCTTCTATTCCTTAACCGTTGTGATTTTTGCATTGATGCGTGGATACATAACCCTGAATTTAGGCAAGCAGAGATGAATGTCATGTTTAGATAGAAATGGAAGATTGGAGAGAAAAACCTGGACTTGAAAATGCATGCAGATGGATAAAAGGATTTTAAAATATGTCTATAAAGTGTGTGTATATAGGAGGTATATATACCAAATCTACTGCAAATGCTGTATTTAGTTGTAAATCAACATATTTTTATTTTTATATCAGCCAAAGAAATTCACTTTGCTTTAAAAAAAAAAATCATATACACAGAGATGCACACGCAATGGGAAAGTTGATCAAAATCAGTTACTATATTGGACTTCTGGCATGCTGATTTAAATAATGATTTATATAGATGATTTAAATTGGCCTGATTTAACTCAATCCATGCAGAAACACATCAAACCTTCCTTTTCATGCTCTGGCTTGGGACACTGGAGCTTGAGCCAAATAGGCAGAGACTTTTAAGGTTGTAGGAGACAAATACAGCTCTGGTCTGATGAGCAGTCATATTCTATAGCATCTAGTGGGGCTCTACTGACTTATTCCAGATGAAAATCTGGTCCAGAGCATTTCAATATTTTCTCTCAGTCAATAGACAGAAAATGATTAATTTCCCAAAGGAATCCCTATTTTTAATGTTTTCTATGTTCCCTGCAGGAACATTAAAATGCTGTCATGGAGAACCAGACCATGGTCAGGAACTTTGTCCTCTTGGGTTTCACTGAAGTACAGAACTTGAAGACTCTGATCTTTGTGATTCTCCTGCTTACCTACATCTTGACTATCATGGGAAATATTGTGATTATTACCATCACCCTCCTGGACCATCGCCTGCAAACCCCCATGTACTACTTTCTCCGGAACTTCTCCCTCTTGGAAATTGGTTTCACCTCCACCGTCATCCCCAAAGCCCTGTTCAACTTGGCATCAGGCAACAGTACAATTTCTTTAGCTGGATGCTATGTACAGGCTTTCCTCTATATTGTCTTGGGTACTACTGAGTTCTTTTTACTGGCAGTGATGTCCTTTGATAGGTGTGTGGCCATCTGCTACCCTTTGTCCTACACCACCACCATGAATGAGCAGGTTTGTGAACTTCTAGTTCTGGCTTCCTGGTTTGGTGGCTTTTTCCTTGTCCTTGGACCATTACTTGCATTATTCCAACTGCCCTTCTGCAGCCAAAATATCATTAACCACTTCTTTTGTGACAATGCACCCCTCATCAAACTTGCCTGTGCAAACACCAGGCTCTTGGAATTGGTAGATTTCACCGTAGCTGTGATTTCTCTCCTGGGCACTCTTACCATCACCATCCTGTCCTATGCCAAAATCATCTTCACCATCCTGAGCTTTCCATCATCTTTGGGGAGGCAGAAAGCCTTCTCTACCTGCATATCACACCTCACTGTGGTCTCCATCACCTATGGCAGCTGCATCTTCATGTACATTAAACCCACGAGGAAAAGTGGGGTGGACCTTAGCAAAGCCGTGTCCATTCTCAACACGGTGGTGTCCCCTTTCCTCAACCCTTTCATATATAGCCTGAGGAACAAACAGGTTCAGATAGCCTTGAGGCAGACTTTTCGCGTGAGGACCATGTTTTCTCATGTAGCAAAAGTATAATGTAATATAGAAGGAATAAAAAAGAGAAAACAACATGAATAGGACAATAATGACCATGATCACAATGTGTACCTGTTGTTTCTTGAGCAAAATAAAAGCAATTTCTATTTCTTGCTCCCTTCTCAACTGCAGCTTTGTTGGTTTCCTTTCCCTATGACAATTTCCACAGGTTTTGTTTGCATAAAATATGTCTGTCTGTCTGTCTGTCTGTCTGTCTGTCTGTCTTTTTGTTAGTGCTCTCTTTCTTGTTTTTTTTATTTGTTTCTTCGTCACATCTGATAAAGTAAGCTTCACCTTACGAAAGTTGGGCTGTCTATATTTATCTTATTTAGTTAGTCTATAAAAGTGCATATTATCTACCCTGTTTCTTTGTTCCCCAACCCTCCGTCTTCAGGATTATATCTGAACATATGACCCCACTGATCATAATGAAACGTTAAACCTCTTACTAAATACTGATATAATTTCAGATTCTTCTATACATACCCCTCTCTTCATAAATGTTAAGGTACAGATATACATATTCATGTTTATTAATAATTTAGTGGCACACCATTCTCCATTAAAAAATATCATCTACATTTTGGGGTATTTATTTGATTGTTATTTCCTTGGTTTGTTTTCTTCCCAATCATGAAAACAGACTTCTGAATATAACTGAATTATAAATTGCCAAGGAAAAAAAATATCTGGGTTGAGGGTAGGGATTCCTCCATGTTCTCTCAGTCACTGAGGCTAAATAAATAAACTAATAACAACTTAAATGCTCAGCTTATGAGACATACAGCTATATTGACTTGATTGTAGTTGTAATGATTTAAACCAGTTGAGAACCCAACCTAAATTTAAGTAAAAATTAAACAGGTCATGATTAACATACATAACCCAACTGAGGGCATTAAGGACTCAGGGGAATATTGTTATTAGCAACAGGAGTCAACAGAACTGTTTTAACATACATATATCCTTCTTTAGCAGGTAACATTACAAGAAGGTGACACACGAGATGTGTCATCACCCGATTTATGTGAACTGGGACCCTAAAAGGTATGCAAGGGGCAGGAATCTCAGCCTCTGTTCTACTTTTGTACAATGGTAATGACTAGTTCCTCAGTTAGACTCATTCATTTATAAGTGCCAGGTTCACTCAAAAGGTGAGGATTCTTCTTGCTGTAGGAGAAACTGAGTAACAGTTAATGTCCCTTGTAGAAGTTGACTAGAATGAGAAGAAGAGTATGTCTATATCTGGCTTCTTGTACATCTAAAAAACCCCAAGATTTATAGAATTAGGTGGAGTTTCTTTTTTTTTTTCCATACCTTTGAGTCTGGGAGTTTTGGTTTTGTATAATAATTCCATGAGTATTGGGCTTTACTCCTCAGTGTTGCAAAATAGTCTTTCTGGCAATGTGTGTACATGCAATGAGATTGTTCCATCTTAAATTTATGAATGAGTAGCCTTGATGAAGGAAGGGAAGGGAGAAGGGAGAAGGCAGAAGGGACCTTTCTCCCCTTGATATTTCTGAATGTCTCAATTATGCTGGGAAAAGGCATAATATTTGATGAAGGAGTTATATGAATAAAAAAAAATGTATTACTCATGTAGACTGACTAGGGCAGAAGGGACCTTTCTCCCCTTGATATTTCTGAATGTCTCAATTATGCTGGGAAAAGGCATAATATTTCATTTTCACATTTTTCCCAAATGGGTTAATGGAAAAATTCAAACAAACCATTTAAGTGTTAATGTATATGAAAGGGCAACATTTGTTTTTATCTATATCTAGTGAAGTTGCAGGTGTGCATGCTTATATTGGCATTGAATGAACTGGGTATAAGTGCATCTACAGCGTAGAAAGAAGAAATAAAGTGAATTTTAATGGCTACCCTCAAGCTTCAGCTTTTTTTCTATTCTGTAGCACAAATTGAAAGAAAAGGTGCTTTGTTTAAAACCGAATTGGTAATTTTGAATTTTCCTTTTTTTAAAAGAAAGGTCTGCATTTGTGGATTCACCATGGAGAACCAGACAGGGATCAGGGAGTTCATACTCTTAGGCTTCACAGACATTTGGGAGCTACAAATCCTACTCTTTGTGCTTCTTACACTCACCTATAGTTTGACAATAACAGGAAACCTTTTAATCATTGCAATCACCTTGCTGGACCACCGTCTCCAGACACCCATGTATTTCTTCCTCAGGAACTTTTCCCTCTTGGAAATTGGCTTCACTACTGCTGTCGTCCCTGAAGCACTAGCCAACCTAGCACTAGGAACAACAACAATTTCTTTTCTTGGGTGTCTTACCCAATCCTTTCTGTATTTTTTCCTAGGTACTACTGAGTTCCTCTTATTAGCAGCAATGTCATTTGACAGATATGTGGCCATTTGTAACCCTCTGCGCTATACCACCATCATGAACACTCGAGTTTGCTCACTGTTGGTTTTGGGCTCTTGGATAGAAGGTTTCCTCTTTGTGCTTCTCCCAACAATAGCGTTTCTCCAGCTGCCCTTCTGTGGCTCCAATATTCTTAACCATTTCTTTTGTGACAACACACCCTTAATGAAACTGCTCTGTGGAGACACTCAGCTCCTGGAGCTCATTTCCTTCATTACTGCAGTGCTGTCTCTATTGGGCACTCTCATAATCACTGTTGTTTCATACAGTAAAATCATCCTCACTGTGATGAGAATCCCCTCTAACATAGGCAGGCAGAAAGCCTTTTCCACCTGCATTTCTCACCTCACCGTGGTCTCTATTACTTATGGCACCTGCATTTTTCTGTATATCAAGCCAACACAGAGCAACGGGCTGGGCACCAGCAAGGCAATTGCGGTTCTTAACACTGTTGTGTCTCCGTTACTCAACCCCTTCATCTACAGCTTGAGGAACAAGGAGGTTCAGAGTGCCTTGAGGGATGTGGTCAGTCGAGCATGGTGCTTTCAAAGGACCTGGGAATTGCATGGGAAGTGAGAAGTGGAAACACTTTTGGGCACTCCATTAAAGGGCCAGGATATATCCATATTCCTGATGTTGCTTTTAGGGAAACCAAACCAATTGAATACTTTTTATTGTTTATAAGTCTAATAACAACACGCCATATGCTAGAGATAGACACTGCATTTGTCTCTTAATAAGCGGTGCCTGTGTTTGTCCTTGAACAAATATATCCTGGGATTGATGCATACACACATCTGGTTTCTAATCAGAATTCAGCAAACAGCTACATGCAGTGCCACTTTTCTGCCATTGATTCAATGATTCAATCCTGGGATAACTGTATAGATGTTCTTTGCAATATCCTGGATAAAGTGTTACTATCGCTTCTCTGGGAATTTTTTTAGGATTTATGCCAGGACAACAGACATGGACATCTGTACATTTACACTTTATCTTAGGATAAAATGTGTGATCCTGGGATAAATGTAATGCTGGTTTGCAGCTATAGGATAATAAGACTTGAAGGTGCCAACTGATACATTGACTTCACAGGTAGTCATTAACCCAACAAAACCCAGTAAGGATTTACTATTCAGTGGGTGGCTCTACACATGCCCCTGACTGCACAGTTGTTACTGCGGAGTCATTTAGTCCTTCCTAAAAGAATAAATGACTCCGCAGTAACTGCTGTTATTGCACAGTCCCAGCAGCACACAGGTTGTTTCTGACCCTACTGTGCAGTAGCATAGATATCACAGTTTGCACCCACTGTCACTGCAGTGCTGTATCTCGCAAAATATGAATGATTATGAGCCCAGTATCTCTCAAAATACCAATGATTATCTCTCCTTTTATGCAATCTCTCTCTGTCTGTCTACCATTTTATTTAGTGAGATTTCAAGAAACAAAGGCAACAATACTGTTCTTCAAAGGAAGATTTATCTAACACTGATCAAAATTAGGCCTGTGCGAAGTGGCTAGTATTCGCTTCGGATTTGGATTCAGCTGATTCGGGTACAGTGATTCAATTCAGTGATTTGAATCACTGTACTGAATTGATTTGGTCAAATCTGATTTGGAGAATCACCTGCTGAATCATCCAGGCCCATCCCTGCCAGCCCAGCAATGTCTGCCTGCCCACCCCAGCTCCTGGCATCTTGAAAAAAAGGCTCTGGATCACTGGGTGCTGCTGGGTGGGCAGGTGATCCCTGCTGCTCCCTATTGCCCCATGCTGCATGGGGGGGTCTGCCATGAGCCCCCCAACCCCTCCCCTCCCCTAGCCA